ACGCTGTGCACCCAGCCTGGCCCGGCAGCCCTAACAGCATCCTCAGTGGGGGCACTGGCCCTGACCCCTCGATGGGGGGCCAAGCAGCTGGGTTCCCCCCATCCCCCGCAAGCTCCTCCAGGTGGGATGCTCACTGCAGGGGGGGATCTGGAGCTCCACCTGAGACCGAGAGTGTGGTGGGATGGGAAGAAGCTGATGCAGGGCTGCTGGGGGTTATTTATAGCATTGGTCTTGAGAGAGAGGGAAGAAGGCATTTTGGGAGTAGGAGGGGTGGGAGGGGATGCCCCGGTGGCTGGTACCTGGGTTAGCTCTGGGTGTGAAGGGATATGGGGCAGGTACAGCATCCTGGCTGCTGCCTGCTCCCAGGTGGTGGCCATCAAACACAGGATTTTATTTTAGTCTGGGGATGGCTTTTTTTTCTCCTCCTTTCTTTTTTTTTTTTTTTTTTGCTTACATTTTCTTTTCCCCGTGAGAGTAGTATTGAGGGAATGCAATGAAAATAAAAATAGAAAAAATTCAGCTCTGCTGCACAAGGGGTTGCCGGGAAACCTGTATGCATCACAGCTTTCTGCTACCCTAAAGGGGACAACTCGGCTGCTCAGGCTCCAGGTGGGTGATGTCTCTTCTCTGACCCTCCACCCTGGTGTGGCGGGGGGCTGGGCACCCCTCATGGCAGAAGGTGGCCCCCAGGTACGGTGGGTAGCCACAGGCTGGGAGTTAAGACCAGGAAGCTGAAGAATGTAACAGGGCTTTGGGATCCCACATGGGGTTATCCGTGTGCGTGCCGATGGGTTGGGGCTGTCCCTGCACTGCCGAGTCGGTGTGGGGACTGGGGCACCGACACAGCCGAGTGGCACTTTGCACGAGTAGAAGGCAGCTCTGGCCTCTGATCCTTGCTGCATTTTTGTATTTATTTTTGGGAGGCCTATGCAAGCTGAAAATGCTCCTTGGAAAACATCCTTCCCCTTGGGGATGTCAAATATTTTTTTTTTTTTTTTTCAGCTCGGATTTGCTAGTGGGATAAAAAAGTTGGAGGGCTCTGGTGATTACAGACATGTTCTCCAGGGTACGGAGGAAAATAGAGAACAAAGTGGATGCAGCTTTGCTTGGAAATCCCCCAAGCCCTGCAAACTTGTCCTGGGCAATTACCCTTGCTGTTTCCCAGCTTTTTTGGGAGCCAGCGGAACTCAGCAGGGAGCTGTGTCTTGCAGCTCCTCGCAGGGCAGAGATCCCACCAGCTGCCACCATGCACAAGTGGTCAACCTACTTTGAGGACAGTCCGGGTGATGGGTACCAGCCTGGATATCCCTGAGCTGTGGGAGGAGCAGGATTGTCACCTAGTGGTGTTTCTCAACAGAAGGCTGAGGGCGCCCGTTACCACCAGAAATGGGGCTACATCGCTCGCGCTGTCATTAGTGACCCAGAAAAGGGACCGGCAAGTGTTCAAAGGCTCATCCCAGACATGCAGGGCAGGCTGCACACATGGAAAACGCCAGGGAAGGACTCAACGGTGGTAGGAATGACGAGGGCAGCCCTGTGCTACAACATCTGAGCTAGTTTATGCAGGAAAGGGAGATGCAACCATCACGGTGTGGAGGGGCTCCCGAAATGCAGGGAGATGGCAGGACAGCACGGCTATGGCTCCAGCACAGCTCCGACATGCAGGGGCCGGAGCAGCACAGCTGGGCAGCGAAGCAAGACACATTTAAAGCATTTGCTGGGAAGTCAGTAAGTAGGCGCCAAAAGGGATGAAGTGCTGGAAGATGTGATTTAAGATGGGATATTAAAAGCGACCCAGTAAGCACAGCTTGCTTCCATGAAGGCCAAGAACCGGCTCCGACACTCCCTGAAGTCAGTGGCACGGCTCTCCCTGGCTTGGCCAGGGCTTTGGCCCGGCCCCAGGGGGGAGGTTAAAGTACTGGGTGTAAATACTGGAGAGGGTGTAGGAGAGCAGGCAGGGATGAAGGAGGAGGAACGACATGAAACCAAACAGAGGAGGATTTGGGCTGTGAGCCCCCTTGCCAGTGCAGCGCACTGGGCTGTCGCGCAGGGAGAGCCGCTGGCGCAGGCTGCGGCCATGGCACTGGGCAGGAAGGTGCCGGCTCTAGCCCTCAGCATCTTCCCTGGCTTGTTGCTGCCTGGGGGCATCCGGGAGGGAACTTTTCCCCCAGATGTAGGCCGGGCTCTGCAGCATCCTTTATAACACCAGGTGGGGTGAGCAGCCCGGGGACCACCCTGGGGGCTCAGTGGGGGCTCCTGGAGAGCCCTGGGGCTGCTTGCTGGGGAGGAATACCTGTGCTGGTGGGATGGTGCACGCTGCTAATGGGTGTGCAAACCTGCGGCTCCTCCTCTCGCTCTCCTCTCTCTTGCTCTGTCTTGACCCTCCGTCTTGCTTGAGTAAGGCAGAGTGGAGCAGGAACGTCCCTCTCCCCTCCCTGCGCTGCCGCCACGGCGTGACGGGGCCGAGCTGTGTGCTGACGGAGAGAGAGCAGACACCTCCGCACCCTTTCCCCTTTGCCTCGCCTCCGGTGAATTTTTAACCAGGAGTAAAAGGTGTGGTGTCAACAGCCTTGGACCCAGCCCAGGGCAAGCGGTGCTGTCGGGACGAGCACTCCACGCCAGGGCAGGGCTGGGGGCAGGTGGTCCATGGCAGTGGTCCCTGAGCGATGCCCACACTCCCCACCAGCCCCCAGCAGAGATGTATATCTCCCCAGGCAGGCAGAGGCGATGCGCCTCACGGGTGCTGGGCGGCTTCCCAAAGCAGCGGGCGTTGCTTCCTCGAGGATCCTGGCTGGATTCGCTAGCCGCAACAGAAAGAACCGGGGCCATGCCAGGAAAACGCACCAAACCCTCCCCCGGCAGGATTTAGCCAGGAGGTTTCCTCAGGCTGCCACTAATGGAAAGCTTGCAGAGAAGAGCAGATGGTAGCGGAGACTTTGGCCAGACCGTACGCGGGAAGACTGAGGGAACCGCGCCTGGATGAAATCAGAGGAGATTTTCCATGTAGCTGGGACTTGGAAGGGTTGGAGTGGCGGGTGAGGGCTACCGCACTCTTCTGTCCTACAGATGGAAATCCCAGATGCGTCCCCAGCATGGCCCTTCATGGGCAGCCCCATGCTCTCCCGGTAGCAGAGCTCATCGCGTCCCTGTGCCTCGCGGTGCTGCCTCACCGGGCCGGTAGCCGGCCCCGGGGCTCCTGTGTTTGTTATTGCTCGCGCAGTGTAATATTAACCGCGTGATAATCATTCACGCCCTTGGCTCGGGAGATTTGAGAGCTGACCCGGCAAGCGACGGTTGCAGGCAGCCAGTTGCCTTAACCGGGCTGGAAATGTTTTTACCGTTTCTGCTAGAAAAAGCCGTGTGATTGCCCGCGTCCACAGCGGGACGGGCTCTGCACCGCGTCCAGGAGGGCAGCGAGCACAGCTTTTTGGCACGGCAGCGAGCATTGTGTTCCACATGCCCAAACCATTTGGGGCTTTACAGCACCAGTGGCGGCGTGCTGGTGGGTGTGCTGGGCTCCCCTGCCAGCATCCCCCAGGGTGGCCCTTTCTGAGCCCTTTCCCCAAGCCCCACGTTCCCGCACTGCCTTTCCCGCTGCCGTCCTGTTCCCAATTACTTCCAGCCGTCGGCCGCCTGTCAGCTTTATGAAGACGTACCCCAGAGTTTTTCCTCAGGTTTTAATTTGCCCTGACAGCCGCCTTCGTGCTGTTGTTTTCCCGGCTGGCCGGTAATGGGATTAGCCGCGTGCAAATCCGGAGGTGATGGAGGGCGAGTGGGTGTGTGTGGGGGGTGCACCGGCCCCCCGCTGCGGGGTACCCCGTGCCGCTTTGCAGCGCCGCCATCTCGCGGGCCTTTTGATGGGATCACATATCTGGCAGCTCGCCCCCCCCATCCCCAGCCTCTGCTGGGCTTTTTTTTAAGCCACCCTATAATTTTCTTGTCAAATGAGAGTCCCGTGCTGAGCTGGGTAGGGCATATTTTACAACAAACCGTCTTGGCTGAGCAGCCCCTGGACTCGCACAAGCGTGGGCTGAAATATGGCCGGGGGAGGAGAGATTTTGCAGGACTCACAGTTGCACGGGTGCTGGGAAAACACTGGACCAGGGTGCCACCAGCCCACGGGTGGTGCCTTCACCGGCAGGCGCATCGCGTCCCCCCTGCGCAAGGGGTGCCGGGGGGGGCTGGGACTTGAGAAGCGTGGGAGCCCCTGCGCTGCTCCAGCGAGAGGGGGGCAGGAGGGGAGCCTGGAGCTGCCGCCTTGGCAGATGGGCCGCTTTGCTACGCGGAAATAGCTGTTTTTTTTTCTTGCTGTGTTAGCAAAACAAACCCAAATCGGCTTATGTTACCCGCCCTGCCTGCAAAAATGCCGGTGACTTTTCCAGTCATTACTTGGGTAATCACCAGGGGTCAAGTTGCTGGAGGGGGATATCTGGGAAGGAACCGTGGTCCCGCAGCTCTGGCGTGCCCAGGAGCTCTCGCCTTTGCAACCCTTCCCCAAGAGCTTGGGAAACTCTTGAGGGTCCTTCGGGGACCGTGAGGACCTTGCACCAAATATGCCGCAGGTGGACCTGGGGAAGCTGGCGCTGGCTAAGAGACTGGGGAGGGGACCCTGGCCATAACAACGCCACCCAAACAAACAAATGGGACAGCCCAGGTTTTTCCGTGGACTGTTGCTGACGCCTGATGCTTCGGGATGGAGCCTCACCCATAGATTCTTATCAGAGGGCACAGACAGCTGAGGCGTGCTCTGCTCTAATGGTTAAATTAGCTGGAACAAGGTCCCCAGATAAGATAAGGCAGTGGTTTGCTGAGGAGGATGTCCTCCGATGGTGTTGGCTGGGTTGTTTCCCTGGCAGGGTATGAACCTTGCTTTGAAGTGGTGCCCAGGTTGGGACCTGGCTTAGCTGAAGACACCATCCCTGCCCATCTCCTGCTGCTCCCTGGAGCCATCTCTGCCCAACCCCGGAGCTCACCCACTGCCTGCCCTTGCCCATGCGGGCATGGTGCCGTGGGCAGTGTCCCGCCGCAGAGAGATGCGCCGGATGCTGCTCCTGCCACTCCGAAACAGCTCGCAGACAGTCGTGGCATGGTTTCGGCCCTCGGGGCGGACCCTGGATGGCAGAAGGAGCGGTGACTCCCAATATTGGGCTGTCGCAGAGTTTCCAGCTGGCTCCCTCCAGCACAGGCCGGCAACGGCTCAGTTTACTGCCCCGCCATGGTGCGCTGATGGGTTTCACACGCCGGCATTAGGAGTGTTTATGGACTCGCTCCCTGTAAAATGAGCAAGAGGCCGCATCCCACAGGCTCCTGAGGTGCTGCCATACTCCGGGAGCGCCTGCAGCCCTCCTTCTCCTCCCTCCCTGCCAGGGGCCCTCTGCTAGATGGCTTTGCTGTGCTGCCCCGCTGCCGTGCGTGCCCACCATCGATGGGATGAGAGCAGGGCAGTGGCCACAGGCAGGATGCATGCATAGCCCCGGCGGGGTGTAGACACTGGGGCTACTGACCCATGCCAACCTTCACGCTGACACTGGCTCGCCGTAATTCCCGTAGGCTTTGCACAGCGTGCCATGTGCCGACACCACGCTTCGGCTCATCCCATCCCTTCACGGAGCAGGCTGGGGGCAGCCCAAGGTGTGGGAGAGCTGCCACTGGTTTTGTGCCCACTCTGGTGCGTGAACAGTGTCCAGTAAGCACAGGGGGGAACTGAGGGGAGGGGGCGGCTGGGCTCTGCTTCAGCCAGGTCGGTCGGCATACGGTGCTGTGTGGGGGCCGTGGGCTGCCCTGGCTGGG